AGGAAGAAATGGAAGAGAGAAAGGTTGAACATGCCCAGATGCTGGGGTTCACACCTTTTTCTTGATTGAGTATGTCATTGTGGTGAGTCAGAGAATAATAAACCCTGAGCTCTGCTGGGAACCTTAGTTATGTGCATTTTCATGACCGGTGGCCCATGCAGTCTCAGCACCACTGTGACAGGGATATGTAGTATTCCAGCTAGCCTTGGGGTGGGCTGAGGGCTGACAGAAGCCCTGTGTTCTGATTTGTGCTATTCCCGTGTGGCCCTCAGGTATGTACACCGTCAGTGCAGTGTTCCTTTCCAAGCACAAAAAAGCCCAAACTGGCACAGGTTCTGTTGTGTCCCTGCTTGCCACGCTTGGACTTCTGAGCTATGAAATGGAAATTATGCCACTGGGAGGAGGGATGGGGAGATGGCTTAGTTGCTTGAGTGTTTATGTAGCATGCAAATAAGGGCCTGGGTTTGATTCCCAGCACCACATTCCTGTAATTCCAGCACTCTGGATGTAGAAGCAGGAGGATCAGGAATTCAAGGTCATCCTTGGCTATTTAGGGAGTTTAAGGGCAGCCTGGGCTACATGAGATCATGTTTCAAACAAATAAGATCAAAGCACTACTACTGGAGGGATCACTGCTGTGGGGTGGTGGCGCACACCTTTGATCCCAGCACTAGGGAGGCAGTGGCAGGCAGATCTCTGGGAGTTCAAGGCCAGCCTGTTCTACACAATGAGTTCCAGGACAACCAGGAATACATACACGGAAACCCTGACTTGAGAGATGGCTCAGTGGTTAAGAGCACTGGCTGCTCTTCCAGAGGTCCTGAGTTCAATTCCCAGCAGCCACATGGTGGCTCACAACCATCTGTAATGAGATCCGATGCCTTCTTCTGGCCTGCAGGCATGCATGCAGACAGAACATTGTATACATAATAAATAAATAAATCTTTAAAAAAAAAAGAAAGAGTCACCATTAATATATAGCAGGCTTTTGGTCAGTGGTCAGTGTCTCCTTTGCTGCTCTTTATTTTTCACATTTAGGGCTAAGAGATTTCCCTGTAAATGTTTTTTGTTTTTAATATTTTGGCAGCAGTTAGCAGTGAAAAATCACTGTTTCTCTGATTGCCGGGTGGTAGTGTTCCAGCGTAAGATACAGCCATTGTTGTCCGAATAAAGACAGAAAGACGTGTGAAATATGTCACATTTACACAGCAAATGCTGGTGAGCAAGTTGATATGATGTCACTGCAGACAGATAAGTGACATGAGTGCAGAAGGCTTCTTGGGATCTAGAGTCAGGAGCAGGGTAACCATACCAAAGCACACTGAAAGGACACAGAGAGACACCAGTCATATTGGCACCAAGAGTCAGTGAGAATGGGAAGGGCTTAAAGTACTGTCAATTGACAGTTTATAATTAATTGTGCGTATTTTTTGGAGCGTAGGATGATATCATAATTTATGAACAGTGTGGTATAATCAAGGTAATTAACATATTCATTGTGCCAAATATTTATTTTTGTGGTGAGAGCATGTGCAGTTCACTGTTTTAGTATTTCTGGAATGTAAGTACTCAGTTTACAGCATCATTGTATCTCCATTCTTCCCATTTCACAACTTCACAATGGTCATTCTTTCTGCTTCTTTTCCCTTTACCCTGGCTAAGGACTGAACCAGTGTCTTGTATATGTCAAACAAACCCTCTCCCACTGAATTATATCACAAACCTTCCTTAAAAATTTTAAAATTACACTTATTTTGTGTATGGGTATAGGTGTGGGTGTGTGCATGGCATGGAGCATGTATAGAAGTCAAAGAACATCTTGTGGGAGTCAGTTCTTTTCCTTCCATACTGTAGATCCCAGGGATTTGGATTCAGGTCATCAGGCTTGGTGGCAATCACCCGTATTTGCTGAGCCATCTTGCCGTCCCCCAGCCCTGTGTTTTTTTTTTTTTTTTGGTTTTTTCGAGACAGGGTTTCTCTGTGTAGCTTTGCACCTTTCCTGGAACTCACTTGGTAGCCCAGGCTGGCCTCGAACTCGCAGAGATCCGCCTGGCTCTGCCTCCCGAGTGCTGGGATTAAAGGCGTGCGCCACCACCGCCCGGCCAGCCCTGTGTTTTAAAGGCTGCTATTCATTGTTATAGATACTATATTTTCTTTATCCACTTACCTGTTGATGGGCACTTAGGTCGACTGTATAATGGTTATTGTGGATGCTGCTGCTGTGAACATGGATGTGTTTTCCTCACTGCGCAGCTTTCCAGTTTGGGGGCGGGGTAGATAGATACAGAGTAGATTGGTAATTCTCCTATTAGAGTGTGTGGATTAAACCCAGGCCCTCCACATGCTGACCATGTGCTCTAGCATGTTCCACCCTCCCCCTGAGGTTTTAGTTATTAGAAGCCTCTGAAGCCAGATGTGGTGGTGTGTCCCCTAAATCCAGCACTCAGAAAGCCGGAGCAGGAGGATCATTACAAGTTCAAGGTCACCAAGAGTTCCCTCAAAAAGCACACATAAACTCCATACAATAAGGTGCTGTGGTTTTCCATAAGGGCTGTACTCACTGAGGGACGCTTGAACTACACCTGTTTTTTTTTTTTTTTTAAGATTTATTTATTTATTATGTATATAGTGTCCTGCCTGCATGTATGCCTGCAGGCCAGAAGAGGGCACCAGATCTCATTACAGATGGTTGTGAGCCATCATTTGGTTGCTGGGAATTGAACTTACAACCTTTGGAAGAACAGCCAGTGCTTTTAACCGCTGAGCCATCTCTCCAGCCCCTTATTTTAAACTTTTTTTTAATAATCAATTTTTATTTTGTGTGCATTGGTGTCAGTTCCCCTGGCACTAGTTACAAACAGTTGTGAGCTGCCATGTGGGTGCTGGGAATTGAACCTGAGTCCTCTGGAAGAGCAGCCAGTGCTCTTCACTGAGCCATCTCTCCAGCCCCGAGTATCTAGTACTCTTGATGCCTAGGCTTTGCCATGACAATTATTGGGAACTTGCTTTTTTTTTTTTTTTGAAACAGGGTCTTGCTGGCCTTGAACTCACAGAGCTCTTCCTCCCTCTGCCTCCTGAGTGCTGGGATTGAAGGTGTGCACCACCATGCCAGCCTTACCTTTACTTTACAGATGCTAGACCAAGACCATGGAAAAATGGATTTGGGAAGTCATTTTTTTTTTAATAATTTATTTTTATTTTATGTGCCTTGGTGTTTTGCCTGCATGCATGTCTGTGTGAGGGTGTCAGATCTTGGAGTTACAGACAGTGGTGAGCTGCCATGTGGGTGCTGGGAATTGAACCGGGGTCCTCTGGAAGAGCAGTCAGTGCTCTTACCGCTGAGCCCTCTCTCCAGCCCCTGGGAAGTCATTTTTGATGTTATAGTTGTTATTGGTGGTGGTGATCGTGTTCTTACTTACTTGGGAAGTAGTTTTTAATTTTAAGCTTTATTTGTTTTAAAGATGTGTGTTTTTTGTTTGTTTGTTTGTTTTTGTTTTTGTTTTTTCAAGACAGGGTTTCCCTGTGTAACAGCTCTGACTGTCCTGAAACTCACTTTGTAGACAAGGCTGGCCTTGAACTCAGAGATCTGCCTCTGCCTCTAAAGAGTGCTAGGATTAAAGGTGTATTCCACCACTGCCTGGCAAGATTTTTTTAAAAGTATTTTATTTATTTATTATGTATACAGTGTTTTCTGCCTGCATGTATCCCTGCAGGCTAGAAGAGGGCACCAGCTCTCATTACAGATGGTTGTGAGCCACCATGTGGTAGCTGGGAATTGAACTCAGGACCTCTTGGAAGAACAGCAGCCAGTGCTCTTAACCTCTGAGCCATCTCTCCAGCCCCAATCTGGCAAGATTTTAAAAATCTTAAAAAACAAACAAAAGCCTTTGCTATTCTTATGCCTTTCATCTTTCCTCAATTTGAAGATGTTGAGAAACTAGTAGTGAGCTAATTAAAGCCCAAGGGTAGCCGTTGTAGCTACCTGGAGGCCAGCGTGGTCTGCAGAGTGAGTCTAGGACAGCCAGGGCTACACAGGGAGTCCCAATCTAAAAACAAAACAAGAACTCAAGGGTTTTTTTTTTGTTTTGTTTTTAAGACAGGGTTTCTCTGTGTAACAGCTCTGGCTGTCCTGGAACTCACTCTGGCTGGCCTTGAATTCACAGAGATCCTCTTGCCTCTGGAATGCTGGGATTAGAGACATTTGTCGTCACCACCCAGCAAGGGTTTTGAATTTTGTTTCATTGTTCTTTTGTTTTGAGACCAGGTCTCACTATGTAGCTTTGGCTCATCTGGAACTTGCTATATACATCAGGCTGGCTAAGAGCTCACCTCTGCCTCCTGAGTGCTGATATTGAAGGCATACACCACAGTTGGCAAAAAGCTCAGGCAGGTTTTTTCAGTGTGGTCCAGTCCTGTTGAGTCCAAAGGTTAATATTAGTGGCCTCCTTTCTTAGCCAGGACCTTTCAGCCATCGTTTGCCTGCATTCCCAGCCAGGAATGATGCTGTCTGGCAGACAATAGATCATACTTGGAGAGGGAATGGATTTCTCCAACGATTTTGACCTTTAATGCCTTATAGAGAAGTAGTTAACACACCACTTAATCCCACTGGAGCTCCCCAGCTCTGTGGTCATGTAGTCTATATAAGTGATTTTAAAAGTGAGGCTGAGATTGGGTGAGATTGTGGGCCAAATCCTATTCATCTTCTAGTGGATGCATTTATAAAAATAGGTGTAGCATTTCTTTGCATCAAGGACCAAATGGAGGAAATAGTCTCAGTTTAACAGAGTAGAAACCAAGGCGATTAAGGCATACTCATCCTCTGTAGCTGTTGCAGTGCCCAGAGAGAACATTTGGCTAGGGCTGGCATGGCTGCAGCTCTGCAGAAGTGGGCACACACACGGTGGCCTCTGTTGTCCAGTCTTTACAGATGTTTGCTGAGTGTGTTTCTTCTACTGTTCTAAAACAGTTGTGCTTTATTCTGGTTCTTTTTGTCTCAGTCAGATTCTGAGGAAGATGAACCTGCAAAAAAGAAAACCGTCCTGCAGGTAAGCTCCTGCTTCTCTCCAGATTGTTTCTAGAGAGCTAGGACTTAAAGTGCCCACGGTGTTCATTTGAGAACTAGCATGTTTGCAGGTGCCGAGGACTGCTTGGTCTGACTGCTCTCCGAGCTAGCTTTGAGTCGGGTGCACCCCTCTTTTTCTCCTTTCTTCCTGGCCTTAGCACAATGGACTTGACTCTTCTGGAAGGACAGGCAGCATACGAACAGGAACTGTAACCTAATTCAGTCCATTAGGTTTCAGGCAGAAGGATTGTAGGGAGTTGGAAGTACGCTGGTCAGATGATGATAAGGAGCATCTGTGTTGTAAAATTGCCTGTTCTTCCTGTTGTGTTAACCTGAAGTAGATATTCAAGTAGCACTTACTTCGTACTAGGTACCATTCTAAATGCTTTACCTGTGTCTCACCGATTCCTTTTTCACCATAGGGCCTAAATCCTAGGTTATGATCATCCTAGTTTACATGAGAAAACTGAGGGACTGGCCCAGAGTTAGACAGCTAACGTAGGTGGAGCTGGGATTACACTGGTGTCTGGTGTGCTGACTCGAGTCCAGCCCAGCCCTGGAGAGTCCAAGAAACTGTTGTCCTTGACTGCTTCTCTGTGGTCCAGACCAGCTGAGTGACCTCCCTGCTGCTGGCTGGCTACCACTCATCTCAGCACCTGTACTCTGGTTCCGAGTATCTTCCAGTTGTCTCTGCTCTGTCTGCTTTCAGGTTGCTCTTAAATCTTGGGGAAAAGTGGTTGTCTTGGAATTCACAGTATTGACGCTGTCCCTGCTCTTCACTTTGTTAAGGTGTCACTTCTAGTTTTGACAGGTCTTAGGACAGAGTCATGTGGAAGTCAAAAAACTATTGGTGAGGGTGATGGGGTGTGTGTTGATAGTGACTGCAGAGGGAAGAGGCACTGAAGAATGATGGGGCCAGTGATTCCCTTGTCAGGAGGCTGCCTGCAGAAGGTAGACCTACTTGAAAGGCATTCCACCAATGATGGCAAAAAAAAAATGAGCACAAAGAGATGACCCGTGAAAGCAGAGTGGGGACCTGGCCCTGCAGAGGGATGTAGCCATGATTCCAGATGGTGCTGAGAAGTGGAACACTTGTAAGATGGCCTAGACAGTGCTCTCGACCTGCCACCCCAGCACCTCCTTCTGATACTGTAAACTTAGAGAGCAGTGAGAAGGGCCCTTCTTCAGCTGAACACCTCTCCTGCCTGGCCTGTTTGCCTCAGAAGTCTTGTTTAACTCGTTCTAGGCTCTTCTTGGCTGGGAAGACACCCTAGTGCTCCAGGACAGTGACCTTAGTCCACTCTCTTTTTCCTATTGATACCTCCCTACACTTAGGACAGACTGGCCCTTCAGCAGACAGAAAGCAGAACCCAAGCGATTGATATGAGTAAGAGGATCTCTGGATGGGTGGGGCCAATTAGTGTACAAAGTGATCTACTAAGTGCTTGACTCTGTAGAGCTATCCTTGGGTGGGTTGGCAGACAGAACTTTTAGCAACAGGTATGAATGTTTCTTGAGCAGAATCTGCACTTGAGGGCTGGAGAGATGGCTCAGAGGTTAAGAACATGGAGGTAACAAAGCCTTGAGGGCTGTGAAGCTCTCAGGAGAAGCACAACCCTGTGATCTTGTTTGCCATTGTTGCTGGTGTATAACGTAAAGTCTCACTTGTCTCTCTTCCCTCTCATTCCAAACCTGGGCTCACTAGGGATCCGGCGAGGGGACTGGTTTGTCTGCCTTGCTCCCCCAACCTAAAAACCTGACTGTGAAAGAGACTAACAGGTTGCTCCTGCCCCATGCCTTCTCCCGGAAACCCTCAGATGTCTCCTCAGATGCTAAGCCCTCTAGACTGGCTTCTAAGACCAAGCCCGCCTCACTTGCTCCTGTTTTGGGCACCACAACCACCACTCCGTCACCGTCTGCCATCAAGGCTGCTGCCAAGAGTGCTGCCCTGCAGGTGACGAAGCAGATCACACAGGAGGATGACGACAGTGATGAGGAGGTTGCTCCTGAGAACTTTTTCTCCCTCCCTGACAAGGCTGAGCCACCTGGAGTTGAGCCATACTCTTACCCTGTCCCCACTGTCCCTGAAGAGCTGCCTCCAGGCACAGAACCAGAGCCAGCTTTCCAGGACGATGCAGCCAATGCTCCCCTTGAGTTTAAGATGGCAGCAGGGTCAAGTGGGGCCCCCTGGATGCCGAAGCCTGGGGATGACTACAGCTACAATCAGTTTTCCACATATGGCGACGCCAATGCCGCTGGTGCTTATTATCAGGTGGGTAAGGACAGAGGGCAGGCCCAAGACTGTTGGAACACGGAGCTCAATGAGAATTTGAACCAGTGATATGGCCTGTGTGCCGCTTGGCTTGGTTTTTTTCTTACACCCACTAGGTCTTAAAACACACCACCATTATTCTGAGCCTTATGGATCTAAATTGCCCAAGTATTTGGGAGGCTGATAGGGTGACTCCCCTGTCAGACTTTGCTCCTTTCATTCTGCACGTCAACTTTCTGTCACTGTGATGGAATCCTGAGGTGTCTGTTAGAGAAGTGTAGTTTATTTGGGCTCGGGTTCCCAGGCTCTGGTCTGTGGTTGCTTTGCTCAGTTTCTTTTGGGCCTCTGGGCGTACATCTGCTACATTACTTTTGGGCAGTGTATCACGAGACTGCCTCAGAGGAAGCTAAGAGGAAAGGAGCTAGGACCCCAGTATTCCCGAGAGTTTCACACCACTGATCTTCCTTCCATCCAATAGGCTCCACCTCTTAAAGGTCCCACCACTTCCCAGCAGTACCACAGGCTGGTGACTACACGGTGTTTTGTTTTGTTTTGTTGTTTCTGAGAGGAATGGTCTATAATCTTAGAACTAAGAAATGCCTCTGTGAATGTGGATATTGAGGAACAGGCAAGTTTGGTGTAAGCTTCTGAGTAGCAGTTATTTTCACATAAAGGAGCACACAAACAAAACAGGTCCCCAACAGCCCACCTAGCTAGCCAGCACACAATGCCAAGATGGCCTCTTGTCTTTTATCCTTAACTCAGGTGGTGACTTGTATCTTATCCCATTGGTAGATGCTCAACTTCACAATCTGACTGGCTAGGAGAAAGGGGGCGGCAGTTCAGGGATTATGGACTAACTACCATTGATAGGAAAAAATAAAATCTTCACAGTGGATGGTTTCCTCTCCCTCCTTTTTTCTTCATTCTTTCCCTCCTTTCCCGTCCTTTTCACCTTCTCCTGTGCTGTGATTACAGGTGTACACTACCACACCCAGCTTTGCTTTGGATTTTTATGTTCTGCTTTTCTGTGTGATGAATATGAAGCATGTTTTCCATTTAGTTCATTATAAGATGAATGCTCTTGGCTGGGCAGTGGTAGTGCACACCTTTAGTCCCAGCACTCTGGAGGCAGAGGCAGGCGGATCTCTGAGTTCAAGGTCAGCCTGGGCTACAGAACAAGTTGCAGGACAGGCTCCAAAGTTACACAGAGAAACCCTGTTTTGAAAAACAAAAACAAAACAAAAAACCCAAAACACAAAGAATGCACGCTCTTAGGGGCCTTTCAGGCAAAGGACAGTACAGACAACTTGAGTGTGTTGGTGTACTTGAGTGTGTTGGTGTACTGAAGCAGAGACGGGGAGTTAGGGCTACATAATGAGATGCTATCTCAAAAAACAAGTAGTGGCAGCAAGGAAGAAACGGTTGCTAGGCACAGGGACCAGGCTTGCTCTTGCCTTCACCTTGTCTTCCTCTAGACTCTGCATCCATGTCATCAAGTACACACTCTCACAAACAGTTTTTATTTTTGAGACAGGGTCTCCCTGTGTAATTCTGGCTGTCCTGGAACTTACTACATAGACCAGGCTGGCCTCGAACTCAGAGACCTGCCTGCCTTTGCCTCCTGAGTGCTGGGATTAAAGGTGTGTGCCACCATGTCCAGCAACAAGTAGCTCATGGTACATGTTTGTACCCTTTCTGACTGTAGGATCACACCAGATAGCCAGTCAGTGAAACTGTCCAGTGAGGGCAGGAGGGGGAGGGAATGGCCTGATCTGATACCGCTACCTTTTCCTGCCTGCTCATGGCAGAGCTTGTTGGATCTCAGGAACAGGTCAGGCCTGGCTAAGGCACTGGAGAGGTGAGGTGGGGGTTATCTTGGAAAGGAGCTAAGGGAACAGGCACAGCAGGAGAGAATGTGCATTCTTTGTCACCCTTCCCTAAACAAGCGCCCCTCTGCCTGGACGGTGTAGATGAGGGAGCTGCAGGGACTGGTGGTGAACCCGAGTTCCTTGGAGCTCTGCTGGTTCATCGGAAAGACTTTGGTGTGGGCATCTCTCCTGTGTTTTCCATGCAGTTTGCTTTGTTTTGTCTCCATTGTGCCTTCAGTTGTATGTTTTCTGTTTCGACTCTAGGATTATTACAGTGGTGGCTACTATCCTGCACCGGACCCGGCTCTGGTCCCTCCCCAGGAAATCGCCCCAGATGCCTCCTTCATTGATGATGAAGCAGTGAGTTAACAAAATGTATTAGTTACTTTTCTGTTGCTATGAGAAAATACCATAACTAAAAGCGACCTATAGAGGGTTACATATAGATGGTTAACTATCATGCTGGAGGGGCCTGGAGTCAAGCAGCAGACAAGGCAGTAGGGACAGGCAGGATGTTGAGAGCTCACATCTCCATTCACACACAGGAAGCAGAGAACAGAGAAAGCTAATTGGAAGTCGGGCAAGGCTGTAAACTCTCACAGCCCACCCCCAGTGTTCCAGCAAGCCTGGACCATCTCCGTAATGAATACTACCAACTAGGGACCCTGTTCCAAAGCTGAGCCTGTGGGAGACACAGCCAAGATGACTTTCTATTTTCTGTGCTAGGGGTCAAACACAAGGTCTTGTGTATGCTAGGCAGCAGTGGATTACTGAGCCCACAGTGGCTTTTTTTTAAACTTAAGATTTATTCTATTTTCAGCTATATATATATATATATATATATATATATATATATACACACACACACACATACATATACATATATATATGTATGTATGTATGTATGTATGTATGTTTGTGAATCTGTGTCAGGGTATATGTACATCAGTGCAGGTAGCTACAGAGACAGAGGAGTCAGCACCCCCTGGAGCTGAGTATAGACAGTTGTGAGCTGATGTGGGTGCTGGGAACTAAATTCAGGTCCTCTCAAGAGCAGTACTCACTTTTAGCAGAGACATCTCTCCAGCCCCACAAATGACCATTGTTGACACCAGGTTTCAAATCTGAAGCTAAAGGAAAACTTTCATTGTTCAGGTTTTGTTTTTGTTTTATTTATTTATTTATTTGTTTGAGACAGGGTGTTACTATGTAGGCAGCCTGATTTTGAACTTGCAGGCTTCCTCTCAGTCTTCTGACTGCTGAGATTATAGGGAGTTTATTGTTACTATTTTATGTATGTGTGTATGTATGTATGTTTGTTTGTTTATTTGTTTTGAGACAGGGTTTCTCTGTGTAGCCTTGGTTGTCCTAGAACTAGCTCTGGGGCTGGAGAGATGGCTGAGCTGTTAAGAGTACTGGCTGTTCTTGCAGAGGTCCTGAGATCAATTCCCAGCAACCACATGGTGGCTCACAAACATTTGTAGTGGGATCTGAGACCCTCTTCTGGCTTAAAGTTGTACATGCAGATAGAGCACTCATGTACATGAAATAAATAAATCTTCAAGCAAACAAACAAAAAACTAGCTCTGTAGACCAGGCCAGCCTTGAACTCAGAGATCTGCCTATCTCTGCCTCCCAAGTGTTGGGATAAAGGGCATGCATGCATGCATCACCATGACCAGTGAGAGTCGTGTCCGTCCCGTCGTGTGTAATGTCCATCCCCCCCCCCCCCCCCCCCCCCCCCCCAGGGTTTCTCTGTGTAGCTCTGCGCCTGTCCTGGATCTCTCTATAGATGAGGCGGGTCTCGAACTCACAGAGATCCACCTGCCTCTGCCTCCCAAGTGCTGGGATTAAAGGCATGCGCCACCACAGCCCGGCGAGAGTTTATTTTATTTTATTTTTTTAACTTATTTTTATTTTATGTTCATTGGTGTTTCACTTGCATGTATGTCTGTGTGAGGGTGTTGGATCCTCTGGAACTGGAGTTACAGACAGTTGTGAGCTGCCATGTGGGTGCTGGGAATTAAACCTGGGTCCTCTGGAAGAGCAGTCAGTGCTCTCAACCACTGAGCCATCTCTCCAGCCCGAGAGTTTAATTAAAAAGAATTTTATTGCTTCTAAATTTTTGTTGTTGTACATATCTATGTGTAGGCATGTTGTCTTAGTGTTTCTGTTGTTACGATAGAACACCGTGACAAAAGGAAAGACTTGGGAAGGAAAGGGTTTATTTCATCTTTCCGGATTATAGTCTGTCGTCTAGGGAAGATAGGAACTCAAGACAGGAGCCTGAAGACTGGAACTGATACAGTGGCCATAGAAAAACACTGCTTACTGGCTTCTTCCTTATGGCTTGCTTAGCCTGTCTTCTTATAGTACCCAGGACCACCAGCCCATAGGTGGCACCACCCACAGTGAGCTGGGCCCTTTCACATCAGTCATCAAGAAAGTGCACTCCAGGCTTGCTCACAGACCAGTCTGCTGGGGACATTGTCTCAGTTGAGGTTTCTGTTTCCAAAATGGCTCTAGCTTGTCTTAAGTTGACATAAACTAGCCAGCACACACATGCATGTCAGAGCTGTCAGAGGACAACCTGCAGGAGCTGATTTTCTCCTTCTACCGCGTGGGTTCCAGGGATTGAACACAGGTCGGGCCAGCTTGCTGCCCCAGGAAATTTATTTTTAGCTTTATCAATTATGATTATGTTTGGCAACATGTGAGTAAGAAATTAAGTAACAATAGTTTGAGGCTGGGTGGTGATGGTGCACACCTTTAATCCCAGCACTTGGGAGGCAGAGGCAGGCAGATCTCCATGAGTTCAAGGCCAGCCTGGTCTGCAGAGCTAGTTCCAGGACAGCCAGAAATACACATGAAACCCTGCCTCAAAACAAAGAATGAGGGGCTGGAGAGATGGCTCAGAGGTTAAGAGCACTGGCTGCTCTTCCAGAGGTCCTGAGTTCAATTCCCAGCAACCACATGGTGGCTCACAGCCATCTATAATGAGATCTGGTGCCCTCTTCTGGCCTGCAGGGATATGTGCAGGCAGAATACTGTATACATAATAAACAAATAAATCTTTAAAAAAAAAAAAAAACAAAGAACGAAAAAACCTGAAAAAACAACAATAGTTTGTGTAATGGCAATTAGGTTTTTCCTTATGAAAGAAGGTTTGGGGTAGGCAGGCCAGGGCTGGAGTCGCAGCTCCACAAAGAAAGTGGTTAGAGATCTGGTTTCTTCTGAACTGTGCTACTGTCTCTAGACTGGGGCTTTGATTCTCACAGTAGCAGCCGGAATGCCTGCCATCACATCTGCATGGCAGCCAGCAGGCTGGAGAAAGAAAAGGAAGGACAGCTCCTTTTTCTTTCGAGGACTTCTAAAACCCCCTAGGGTACTTGCCCTCAGGACTTATGACTAGGTAAGGGTCTGTTCTCATGGCTAGATCTAATTCCAGTGGGGCCCATGAAATAAGGTTTTAGTTGAGTGATAATTTGGTTCATTGACACCAAAGAAGGGGAGAAGGGATTTCGAGAGACACCCAGCAGCTGTGATCAGTAACCCTGGGTTCAACTTGACTGACAGACAAAATGAAGCCTGTTCTGTGTGTGGCCTTCAGCCCAAGATGGAGATCTGTCCCATTGCAGGGGAGATGCAGCTTATTACAAGAGGTGGAGGTTCTTAGGAAAAATAACGCTGTTCACTTTCCCCAGAAAGGTGTCTGTCTGTCCTTTGCTAACCTTTGTTCTGATTGGTAGTCTGTGTATTCACTCCCTTGAGTATTGCCTTCTAGGCAAGTTCAGTGGTCGAGTCCTTCAGTTTCTCATCTTTGGAAGCAGCAAACCTGCACTCAGTAGCCACGCTCAGTCTCTTGTAGTTAACGTGGGCATTGGCGTTCACCAGTGGTCAGAGCAGGGCCTGAGGCTTGCCGGGATTTACTTCTGTTGCAGGTGGTCTGGGTTTTCCCTCCTTCCCTCTCTTCCTTCCTCTTTGCCTCTCTCCCTATCCCCTCCCCCACACACATTGGGGTTCTGGTCTCAAAGTCATGGCAATCGTCCTGCCTTGTTGGTATTATAGGTATGGACTAGTGTCCATGTGGTTGTTGTCCTGCCCTGCCCCTCCCCACCCCTCCCCTCCCCTCCCCTCGGTAATCTTTGTTAACCTTCCCCTCCTTCCCTTTCTTCTTCCCTCCCTCTCTTCCAGAGGACAAAAGAGGAGGAGTATTAAAGAGAGTTCTTTGGCCTTTTGAGGTTCCATCACTCTCCATCCCACATTCTCTTTGTCCGTGGATTCTTGGGGTGGAATCTGATGATGGATGACACCAATTTAGTGAGAAGCGTGGGAAGAGAACTGCTGGCTTGTCCGCTTTTGTTTAGCGGCTGACCTTGAACTTCCTGTGTAGCCAAGGATCACCTTGGTTGTCCTGTCCACCTCCAGAATGCTGGGCTTGCACTGTGTGCCATTAGAGCCAGTCTATGCAGTGCTGGGAGATGGAACCAGGGCTCAGTGCACACTGTGTACGTACTCTAGTGAAGCACTCCCCCAGTCCTGAAGGAGAACTGATTTTCAGAAGAGACATCTTGCAGATTTTTATTTTTTGATCCAGGGTCTTGCTAGGAGTCTTTAAACTCCTGGATTCAGGGCTGATGAGATGGATGGCGTAGTGGGTCCAAGGGGCCTGCTGCCAAGCCGCATGGCTTGGGTTTTACTCACGTGGTGGAAGAAGGGAAGCCATTCCCAAAGTTGTCCTCTGACTTCACATGCATGCCTTGGTCTGAATGTCAAGCAACAACAAAATAAAAATAGAAAAAAATAACCCCTGCCTCTGCCTCCCAAGTAGTTGGGACTACAGATGTCTGTCATCACACTCAGTTTACCCTCGGTTCCTTGAAAACAGCAGCAGCAGCAGCAGCAGCAGCAGGAGCACACACACACACACACACACACACACACACACACACTCACACTCACACATTTGATTTTACTTTTTTTTTTTTTTTCCTTCGAGACAGGGTTTCTCTGTGTAGCTTTGGAGCCTTTCCTGGATCTCGCTCTGTAGTCCAGGCTGGCCTCGAACTCACAGAGATCTGTCTGCCTATGCCTCCCGAGTGCTGGGATTAAAGGCATGCGCCACCATCGCCTGGCTCTGATTTTACTTATTTTTATTTTATGTGTTTGAGTGTTTTGCCTGAACATATGTCTTTGTACCAGGTACATACAGATGCAGTACACATAGAGGCCAGAAGAGGGCTTCAGTCATCTGGAACTGGAGTTAGAGACAGTTGTAAGCCACCATGTGCGTGCTAGTAATTGACCCTAGATCCTCTGCAAGAGCAGTCAGTGTTCTTAACTGCTGAGCCATGCCTCTGGCCTCTTACTCTCAATTCTTTTTTTTGTTTTTTTGTTTTTGAGACAGGTTCCTGGCTGTCATGGAACTAACTCTATAGACCAGGCTGGGCTTGAACTCTCATGGAGATCCACCTGCCTCTGCCTCCCAAGTGCTGGGCTAAAAGGGGTTTGCCACCACAACCTGGCCTACCCTCAATTCTTAATTTAAAAATTGTAATCCTAGTCCTTGGTTGGCTGAGGCAAGAGGATTTTGAGTTTGAAGCCATCATGGTTGTGTCCAAAACAGAAAGGAAGAAAGCTGTGGTAGACCTTTCAGGCAGGTATAGTGATCTGGTTTGTATTCCTGGATCTCTACAAATACTCTTGACCACCCTGGCTCTGACTCCAAGAGCCCTCCTGAGAAGCCTATGTCCCCTGGCACCATAGGAGTTTAGTAGATGGCGGCAGGGTGGAGAGGAAGTATTCACAAAGAGAAACCGAGGGCACAGTGTCTGGTAGTCCAGCGTTGCTCTAGAGCCGTGCTTCTCAACCTCCTAATGCTGCGGCCTCTACTATACTGTAGTCTCTCATGTTGTGGTGATCCTCAACTGTAAAGTTACTTTGTTGCTACTTCATAAGTGTATTTTGCTGCTGTTATGGATTGTAACTATCTGATATTCAGGATATGTGATATGTGACCCCAAAGGGGTCTGTACCCACAAATTGAGAACCGATGCTCTGGAGACTCTGGAGCCTTAGCAGTGTCTCCTGCTGCCCTCACCCACATTCCAGACCTCTGCAGTTCTGCTTTTGTTTATTTATTTACTTTCAGTTTAAGCGGCTGCAGGGCAAGAGGAATCGCGGGAGGGAGGAGATCAACTTTGTGGAGATCAAAGGTGATGACCAGCTCAGTGGAGCTCAGCAGTGGATGACCAAGTCGTTGACAGAAGAGAAGACCATGAAGTCCTTCAGCAAAGTAAGTGTGGGGGACCATTCGGGTGGCGGCGGCCTGCTCCCCATCTGACCTGTTGTTACTTGACACACCTCTAGCAGATATTGTTGCCCAAGGTAGTGGAGTATATAAGCTTCATGGGAAAACTGCCTTTCAGAACTTGAAAGAATTTTCACAGCTTCCGTGAAGGTCTCTGGTGTGTGTGGTTCTCCCCACTGGTCAGAGTCTACAGCTGCTTTCCCTGTAATCACATCAGTCTCCAGCTCTTACTCTGGGCTGGCTCAGCCTTTGGGGAGCGGGCACAGCAGATCTTCAGAGGCTCTAGGCCCTGGGTGCCAGGCATACTGCTCTTCTCTTGCCACTGCCTGCATAGTTCATTGTAGCCAGCTGCTGTCTCTGAATGGTCTTCTTCTGTTTCCCACCCCACCGACCTCCCTGTGCTCATTTTCTTTAGTCAGTATGGTGAGTGTGTCTTCACTTAGCAACTCGGCACAGCGAGTGTGGACATTTAGGAGCTGGCCATGGTGGGGGTGGCTGAATATGAGCTTCGTGCCAGCAACACCAAGGTCAAGGATTTTTACACCCCCCCCCCACTTTGATTTTTCTTTGTTCTATGGTCACAGATGGCCATCCAGGCCCCCATCATTTATTTTAACTGAATGTTGGCGGTCATACAGGATAGAGCAAAGGATTGTGGTTAGAGCAGCTTAGATCTATCACTGTTTACTGGAAAAACCACTTAGGAGAAAGGGCTCTGCTAACTTGGGCTTGAGAGGCCCCGTCACACAAGTAGCTGCTGGTATGAGTGCTCACTGCGGAATGGAGAGAATGTTTTATGTATATCTTCTTTAATTGTAACGTTTAATGACATTCAGTAGCAACAAGCAATTAGCATCTGGTCTTTTCCCAGCTCCAGGTTTTTGTCCCATTTCATTTTGTTGAGCTTGCTTTTCAGAAGAGAAGAAAAGATACAGTCCCCTATCCCCAAGAAGTTGACAGCATGGTTGGGAAGAGATTTAAGGACACTTGAGTGTAAATGATTACAGTGCAAATTGATTACATAAGTGCTGAGGAGACTCTGGGGAGGCGTTTTTGAGAGTTGGGTGGGGCTGGCGAGGAAGCTTCTAGGCCGAGACAGCTCTGGCAGAGGACAGAAAAACCACACAGTGAAAGCTCAGACCAGTATAGATTTTGACAGTAAATCGTTTGCATCAAAGTGTGGTTTGGAGTTAGATGTAGTTACTGGTGGAGGCTGGAAGATGAATTGAGGAAGAGTGAGATTGTGAACTTTGTAATCCCAGGGAAGTGGTTGACATGTCCTGGGACAGGACCGTAGTTTCAGCCAAAGGTGATGGATGGGAGGGCTTGGTAAGTGGTAGGTAGGAGTCAGACTAGACGTCTGGCCAGAGTGGGGAGAAGGGCACAGAAATGAAGTGGGTTTAAGGGGCAGATGGATGGAGGGATAGTAAGGAGGTCTGGAGGAGGTCAACAGATCACATATCCGTGGCATGAAAGCTGTCCTAGACTCACTACAGGCCAGTGTCAGGCCACAGGCAGAGCCTCGGGCTTGGGCTAGAGATAGAGCAGGGTTATCAAGGAGATAAGGAATCCCAGTCCTGACCTCAGAATGTAGCCAGTAATTGGGGAAGTAACAGGCTATTTCTTGCAAGTATTCCCAGCTTAGATTTGTTTTTCATAATGGCGCTAATAAAATGTCTGCTTTGTAAAGTATGTAGACACAGAAATAGCTCCAAGTTGACTTTTCTCCCAGAGATTTAGGCTGTATGTTTAGTGTCTCGGTTCACCAGCCTTACGCTGTCCTGGCACATGAGAAATTTATGTCTTTCCATCTGTGGATTAAGGACTGTGTTTTTGGTTTGTTTTTGTTTTCCCTTGTAGAAGAAAGGTGAGCAGCCAACTGGCCAGCAGCGGAGGAAACACCAGATCACATATCTGATTCATCAGGTGAGGATGCTCAGGGCTCCACTCACAGGATCCAATTAACCTGGGGATGAGAAGTGGAGCTAGTAAAAGCAGGCCCAGTATCAGGCTCTGTTTTGGTAGGCTCCCTTTTGTTCTCCTTGTGGCCACTAGGGGGAGGCTGCATCCTTGGTAGCATTCCCCTCTGTCTCTGGTACAGGTGATTAGAGAAACGGTGTTATGTAAGAGGGAAGTGACATGGTTTATTATAGGAATCTTTTGGTTGTTTGAGGCAGAGTTTCAAGCATCCCAGGCTATAGCCCAGGACGACTTGAACTTCTGATTCTCTTGGGTCTAGCTCCTGAGTGCCAAGATTGATGGGCATGTGGTTCCCTGCCTGGTTTGTAAGGTGCAGGGGATAGCACCCAGTGCTTGATGCAAGAACTCCACCAACCGAGCTTCATCCCCGTGTGTGTGTGTGTGTGTGTGTGTGTGTGTGTGTGTGTGTGTGTGTGTGTGTCACAATGTAAGTTATAGGAAGTCAAGACAAATGTCCCTCTTTTTCTCTAGCCACTGTGCAGGTCCCAGGGATTGAACTCAGTCATCCAGCTTGGTGGCGGGCACTGTACCCAGAGCCATCTTGTTAGCCCTCCCCTCCCAGCAGGCTTTTCCAATAGCAACTTTATCTGTTTTTTGTTTGTTTGTTTGTGTGGTTGGTTGGTTGGTTGGTTTGGTTTGGCTTTTCAAGACAGTTTCTCTGTGTAGCTTTGGAGCCTGTCCTGGCTCTCGCTCTGTAGACCAGGCTGGCCTCAAACTCACAGAGACCCGCCTGCCTCTGCCTCCCAAGTGCTGGGATTAAAGGCGTGCACCGCCACCCCCCCCCATCAGTTTTATTTAAAATAATAAATAAATAGAAGGCTGGGTCTGGAATGTACAGTGGTATAGTGTGAACCTAGCATGAACAAAGACTGTGATTCCTAGTCAGTCTGTCAGTGAACCAGCTGCTCACAGTGACTCCCCACCCCACTTCTTTCGTGTTCCAGGCTAAGGAGCGGGAGCTGGAGCTGAAGAACACCTGGTCAGAAAACAAGCTCAGTCGCCGGCAGACCCAAGCCAAATACGGATTCTAGGGCTCAGGGACTGATGGCCCAGGATCTTCTGTCGGCCCTGCTGACCCGGCCCCGCTGGCCCGGCCCCAGCTTCACCTCCAGGACCCCAGCTGCTCTAAGTCCAGCACCTCCACCTTGAGGACCCAGCTCTCACCTCTGGGAGAAGGAACATATTTGATAGATTTTTCTTAACAGTTAGAAAATCCAGCTCCTTTCTGCGCTGGGGCTGGAGAGACTGCTGCCCCAGAGGCCCTGAGTCCTTGGTTGGGAGTTTTGCTCCCTGTCGGTGTGACGAGACGTTGAACTCTCCCACGGTCTTTTTTTTTTTTTTTTTTTTTTTAAACCAGGGATGTCTGTTGAAATAAAACATTGAGTGTGACAGATGTGCCTGCACCGTGTCTGGATCACAGAGTCGAGCTTGTGCAGATGCCTCGCCCGCACCCTGAGCTGCCTTATCCTTGCTTTGCTTTTTTACCCTCTCTGCCGACTTACACCCGGGCTTTGTGGCCCTGACCATCCCAGTCGTTGGTAGTTTTACCTGGGGCGGGATGATAATCCGAGGCCTGGGATTCCAAATGTGGAGAGTAGTGCTGATCTCAGAGATGGACTAGAAGGGCCCTATGGCTCGAAAGCCGCGTTAAACTGGGTGTGTCGCTGCACGCCTGTAGTCCCAGCACTCAGGAGGCGGAAGGATGAAGAGTTCAAGTTCAGCCTGAGCTGCAGGATCAAGACCCTACCATTTAAAAAGAAAAAGCATCTGTGATAGATACTTTGTTCCCAAAGTGAATCAAATTTACACTGAGGTTTGTGGCATGGACTGGTTTGGAGAGAGTTCTGTTCACCACTGTACCACCAATACAGATTGTGAGCTGCTTTGGAAGCTAGGCATAGAAGGTGGGGGCCAGATATATCTCCGTGGAGACTTCAGAATCTCTAGCTGTTTTGGGGAAGGAATCTGGAAGAGAATACAGACTTAGGAGCTGTAGGGCACTATGTGCACACCAGCAACAGTGTACTCTGTAGTGTCTTCCTTTCAGGTCAAGACTCAAGTAGGAATGATCACAAAGATAGCACATCAAACCACGAGTCAGCTGTCAGGCATCCAAGAGTTACCTGGTGTGCAGGAATGGAGCACTAAAGAAACTCCAGAGCCTGTGGGTGCCAGGTAGCAGAGCCGTAGGTGCTTCAGTCCACTGCTGATGGGGCTGTCCTGGATAGGCAAGGCTATGGCCCGAGGAACAGTTTGAATAGGGTGTGGTGGGGACTAGGGCCCAGCAGATGAGACATCTCACTTTCTGGTGCTGTGTGCTGAGGTAAGTCGAGGAGTCTGTTTCTCATTAAGTACATTGTAGGGTTTCATCACTTACAGGAAAACTACCCGCTTATCTGAAATCTGACCTACTTCGGGTTGGAGCCAGACAGGGCTCCCGAGTCCCACAGGGATTGTAGTTGTTCAGATCTTCACATCCAGCCAGTCTCAGTAGGGAGCCTCACTCAGCTCCAGTGATCCTCCATTGTCCGCAGAGGACAGGCAAGGCTGAGGTCTGCCTCCAGATGGATGTCTTAGGTGATAGTTGACCCAGCGGGGCTCAGAAGTCTGAGGTCCCTTTGTGCCAGGTGCTCTGTGTCCAGTGTACTCTAAGAGCAGCCTTTGTCGTCTGTGTTACCACCCTGCATTTGGTATCTTGTCTTCAGAGTCTGCACTGTGATGGAGTAGGAAGTGCCCTACATTGCTGGGAGGCAGGAGATGACCCCCCTCCCCTTTTCCCTTTAATTGAGATGGTTTTTCTGTGTAGCCCTGGCTGTCCTGGAACTCTGTAGACCAGGCTGGCTTCAAACTTACAGAGATCTGCCTGTCTCTGCCTCCCGAGTGCTGGGATTAAAGGGGTGTGCCACCACCGCCCGGCAGGAGATGAGCCTTTTACCTTCAGTTCTCAGAGTCTGTAGCTACCTTTTAAAAGAAGTTTGTGTTTTGATATGATCACTAAAACAATTGGGTTGATCTTGAACTCACCATATAGCTGAGACTGACCAGGGCTTAATCCTGCCCCCGTGTGCTGGATTACAGGCATGCTCCACTATGCCCCACTCGAGAAAGAAAATAATTTTTTTTTTTTTTTTTTTTTTTAAAGCAGGATTTTTCTGTTTAGCCTTTGCTGTCCTGAAACTCACTCTGTAGACCAGGCTGGCCTCAAACTCAGAGATTAGCCTGCTTCTGCCTCCTGAGTGCTGGGACTAAAGGTGTGTGCCACCACCACCTGGTTAAGCCTAGATTAAGAAATTAATTAGGCCGGGCGGTGGTGGCGCACGCCTTTAATCCCAGCACTCGGGAGGCAGAGCCAGGCGGATCTCTGTGAGTTCGAGGCCAGCCTGGTCTCCAAAGCGAGTTCCAGGAAAGGCGCAAAGCTACACAGAGAAACCCTGTCTCGAAAAACCAAAAAAAACAAAAAAAAAAAAAAAAAAAAAAAAAAAAAAGAAATTAATTAGAAAAAATAATTGTCAGACAGGAAAGATGACTCAGAGGTTAAAAGCACTGGCTGTCCTTCCAGAAGACTTGGGTTCTGTTCCCAGCACCCATAGATATACATACCAGCAAATGCCCATATACATAAAATTAAAATAAAAATTATTTTGCATATTTGTGTTTTATGTGATGCATTCATGTGTGTATGTGCTCCACATGGCATCAGGATCCCCTGGAACTGGAGTTAAGGATGGTTGTGATCTACCATGAGTGGGTGCTGGGAACCAAATCCTAGGTCTTATGCAAGAGCAAGTGCTCATATCTGCCGAGGCGTCTCACCAGCTCCCAGCCATATTTTTGAAAAAGCCACTTTTTAGTCCTACCAAAGATGACATTTATTTGGTGATTGGAATTTCCTAGTCACCAAGAGAAAAGCTGACATGTATCTTAGTTCACACCTATTATTTCTGTACTTGGAAGGTGGAGGCAGGAGGACTGCGATGAGTGTGAGGCCTAGAGTGTGAGACTGTTTCAAGATCCAAAAGGTAGGCCGGATTTGGTGGTACACTCTAATCTCAGCACTGTGGGGCCAGAGGCAGGTGGATCTCTGATTTCCAGGCCAGCCAAGGCTACATAGTCAGACCCTTTCTAAGAGGGGTTGGGGAGGGGGTCAAGAAAAGGGGGAAAGAAACAAGGCACTTCCCAGGGGTGATAGCCTGGCCTCTGGTTAACAGGAAAGAGAAGACAGGTGTGGACTAGAGAGAGGGGCGGTAGGAATGATACTTGGCTAAAACTGGCCTAACAGCAACAGTTAAGGCTAGAAGGTGAGAAGGCCTTGACCACAAATGGGTCCTTGGTTGTGGTGTTGCACTCCTGTATCCTAGCCCTTGGAGGCAGAGGCAGTGGGTTTTGGGTTCAAGGCCAGCCTGGGTTTCAGAATGAGACCCTACCTCAAAACCTCAAAACAAAACAACATCCCTATGTTGAGTCACATTGACCAGGACAGGAACCGAGGAGGCTGAGGTGTTTGAAGATTGGACTCAAACTGCAGAAAGATGGGGATCTTGTCATGAGGGGCTTTGAGCCTCCCAGACAGCCACAGTTGGCTAACAGCAAAGGGTCCATAGCTTGCTTTCAGGGGAGGGCTATGTAAGGTAGTTCAGGATGACCAGCCCACAGCCCTTTTTGAGTGCATCTGTGAGTTTTGAGTGAGTTTTGATCGCTGCTGCTTTCCAATCTCCCTGTCCTGAGACCACCACAAGTGACATTACTGACATCTGTTCGCTGAGGGAGCGGGGAAATGGAAGTGCAATGAGGATCAGTCACTATGGCCAAAGGCTGGGTCTGAGGACTGCTGGATCTGCAGTGGGAACTGCCTGCACTCAGCAGGGCTTTCCACTGGGGAGCAGACTGTTGGCAGATGTGGAGCAGTCTGGGCCCGAGTGCCCGGAATGGGCAGAAGGGTTGGTGTCTTCTTTTCTTTTCCTATTGATGTGATAAGGTATTCTGACAAAAACATCCCAGAGGAGAGGGTTTATTCCGGCTCACACTGCAAACGTGTCATGGCAGGGGAGCCAAGGCAATAGGAGCCTGAAGCCTTCCCTTCTCCTCTTAGTCCAGGATCCCCTACCGAAGAAACAGGTTCCATCCATAATTAAGGTGCATCTTCCCACATTGATGATTAATTAATTAATGTCACTCACAGACATTCTTAGAAGCTGGCCTTAATCTAGACACTGCCCCCACAGCACAGGTGTGCCTGGAGGCTTGTCCTTGGATGACTTTAGCTTCCGTCCAGTTGACACTAGCTGTAGCAGATGGAATGGCCAGAGAAGACTGAACCGGTCCCCATCTCCCATGTGAGGAGTCTGACTGGGGAGGAGAGGGGCCTGCTCCCTACAACTCCCTTTCCATCTTCAGGTGATTCTACCTTTCATCTTCAGGCCGCATTGCAGCCCTAGACCTCGGGTCTGTAGTGAAGCCAGCAGGGCAGGGAGAGTCAGCACCTTGGATTTTATTTCTGTATGCATAAGCTGGGGACTGAGCCCAGGGCCTTATGGGTGCAAGGCAGGTGCCCTACTTCTGAGTTATATCCACCCTGATTCCATCTTCAGGGCTGGGCTACCTCTGAGAGCCTTGGCAGGGCAGGGACCTTATCCTTCTATCTGTGGGACCCCTTGGTATCAAGACTCGGTCACCTCCCTCTCTGACCCCACAACCCTCTGTAGATGTCATGAAGGATCTCCAAAGCCCCTAAGTAATCATACTAGTCAAAGCTGTTCATGTGAGACCCATATATGCTGGTGAGGCCTCAGTCCCACTTCGTCTTTGGGCCTACCTTTGGTCTAAGCCAAAGGCTGCACTGTTCAACAGTAGAATGCCCTAAGGAGACATACCTGCCCACCACGCTCTATCTGGAAGCTTAGCGAAGCTCATTGCTTTCTGACTTCCTGCTCTCATCTCCTGCTGCCTCAGTCACTCTTTTATGCCTGCTCGGAACCTACCCTGAAGTGACTACCCAAGTGTCCTGTGAGACCTTTCTTGTGCTTTCTTCTCCTCTCTGATTCTGAGGTGGGGGCATGTGTTCCCCACTCTCATCTTCCAGGGCTCAGGAGGGCTCTAGATCTTCAGCAGACAAGGAACCCTAACTGTTGACTCAGCACCTACGGCTCTTCAGCCTCAGCACAGGAGTGGAAAAGAGAAAACTGGCTAGTCACCCGAGCTGGCGTTGGTGCCAGGCTGGGGGAGCTGCGATGGCGGCAGCACCCAGCTTTCTGGAACAAACTGGAGGGAAGAGCCTGTGACCCAAAGGGCACGTGTTGCCTTAAATGAGCTTTAGCAGAATCAGAATGCCAGCCAGGTAGGGAGCAGCGGTAAAGGTCACGTCCAGGGACTCAGGTGAACTCTGGAGCCAGCAGGACCATGCATGACCAGCCTCGGAAAGCCTCCAGTGAGATGGAAGTGGGACCTAGAGTAGATCTCTCCCTGGCCAGAACCCCAGAGAGGAGTTTTGCTCTGGGGCAGGAGGTCAGTCCTGAAGTGAGTCTGGGCAGGGCAGGGAGAAGACACCCAGGGTGGGGCAGGACAAGGAGAAGACACCCAGGGTGGGGCAGGGCAGGGAGAAGATACCCCAGGGTGGGGCAGGGCAGGGAGAAGACACCCCAGGGTGGAGCAGGGCAGAGAATGGGCTCCTGAGTGAGGCAAGGGCCTAAGCCCAGGAGTTTCAGAAGTCCCAAGAGACTCATGGAGCTGTTCCAGGAGTTTGCATCTTCCAAGGGTTCACAAACTCATAAGGTGCCCTTCTTCTGAGTCTTACATCATTGCCCCCGTCTCTATAGCATTCACTCCCAGGCCCCTGGCTGCCTATTCAGCCTACCCCAGCTAGGGGAGAAGTGCTTGGTAAAGGGAGCCTTGCCTTAGTGATTCTCAACTTCCAGCCCAAAGATCTATAACTTTGCCTAAGTGTCTTTGAACCCCTAGACCCCTGGGAACCACAGTGGGAGAGAGGAAAGGGTGGAGGAGGAGCTGGAAGGACAGATCTCTGCGGAGGGAGATTGTTGGTGATGATTTATTAGCCAGACAAGAACCAACAAACAAATTCTAACATCTGTTCTCACCAAACCATCCCTCAGACAACAGTAGCATTGGACTAGGGCCCAGATTCGAAGGCTCAGAGGGCCAAGGTTTCCTAAAGTCCAGTTTCTTCAGGAGGAAAAACCAGGGCATAGGAGGCAGGATGGCTTCCCTAGTACACTTCCTTGCATTGGGTCCGTGGTGACTCTCAGGAGAGCCAGGGAGTGTGCTGCTGTGATGAAGATCCCACATTCGTTTCTGTGACCTCCAGGCTGCTTTGGAGTAGGAGGGCAGACTTCTTAAGGGGACAGGAGAAGCTGGGGTCCAGAGAGGCCCCAGTACAGAACTCTGGAAAGCAAGCAGGCTTCTTAGTTGAGGAAATCTCTTCTGTCTCTTGTGGAGAAGAGAGGATTCAGGCTGAGGACAGAGAACCCTGAACAGAGGTTTTAATCCTTGACCTTGGCCCAGACCTTCTCCCTCTCTGGCTTCGTTTCATTATTTGCATAATGAGGGAATTGAACTTAATTGATACAGGCAAAAGAAATGCCGCTCCTGCACCCACAGCAGACATCACTCATCAGTCATGGTGCTCTTTTCTGCTGAGCTGGGACGTGACCTTAATATCCTTTCCAATGCCGCGCTCTAGGCAGCCGAGACCAATGGATTGGAGTTGGCATGCGGCATGACACCTCCTTGCCATCCTTGCGGTAGATGAAGGGGCACAGCTCACCTGTAGTCTATCCACCTGCCTTTCCTAAGAAAGGACCAGGCGAATATGAAGGTCTCAGGGCACAAAATACCCTTAGCTAGCCTCTCTCAGATCAGACATACTACGTAATGATGAGGCCGGAGAGGAGCCATGCCTGTTCTCTGTTCTGAAGCACCTGTCTACAAAGGGTATACTTCCAGGGGCAGGGCTGATGAGGAGGGAGAGGGCCTTGCTCTGTCACAGAGTTCTCAGAATGCAGCTCTGGAGCACCTGCAGAAGTGCAGACAGAAGGACAGCCCTGGGTCATACCGTCTGCCTCTTTGGCTGATATGCTGTCTCTAGGAAAAGGTATTTGGTCTTAACCCTTTAGCCTCCAGAGAGGGCATTTAGACTCCCACCCATGTCCATTCATTCCCTCTGTCTCTCCTCCTCTCCATTCCCTCTCCCTTTCTAAGCACCTGCTTTGTGCCAAGCACTGGGCTGGTACGTTAGAGATAGCTGAGTATTCCCCAGGGCTACCCCTAGTGAGTCATGCTCAGTGGGGAAAGGGGGAGACAGAAGATAAAAAGGAAGAAGGGGTGTCCCAGCTGGCCAGGGGCCCAGCAAGTGTGTTAGGAGGTCAGGCCAGGGAAGGCTTTCCAGGGAGAAGGGCAAATGGCCTTGAGGTGGGGTTAAGGGTTGCCAGGCAGCAGGTAGATAAGCTTGTAGGAGTTGCCATAGGCAGAACAGATGCATGTAAACTAGACGAGGCTTGGTAGCTCTTGGTGAGTTTGGAGAAATGTGATGGGAGTGCTCAAAGTGGGCCTGATGACATGGGATCTCACCTCCGTGTGGAAGACCTGGGGGCGGGGGGCGGGGGGGGGGCAGCTGCTTCAGAAAGCCCCTTCTGGCTTCCTCGGGGAAGAATGGGTCAGAAGTGACAAGCTTGGTACGAAGGAGGCCAGTTGAGAAGCTCTTAGAGAAACTGGGGTATACCTCAGATGGTGAAGAGGTTGTCTAGCTTCACAGGCCCCGAGCTTGATCCCTAGTGCCGTATGAGCTGCTCGGGAGCACACACTTGTAATCCCAGCATGCCAGAGGTAGATGCTGTAGGGTCAGAAGTTCAAGGTCTATCGGCTTCATAGTAAGATGGAAGCTTGATGCACACCCATCATCCCAGCATCCTTTGGAAGGCTGAAACAAGCAGCTATCTGTAAGCCAGTCTGGTCTACATAGTGACTTCCAGGCCAGCCAGTGAGCCCCTGTCTCAAAAATAACACCAACAAAAATATAGTTCCTAGAAAAGTCTTGATGAGAAAATGGCAGGAGCTAGAATTGGGGGAGAGGGCAGATGTTATCGACCTACAGAGATTAAAGTGAAAAGGGTGGAGATGTTTAGGGACCCCACATCTCTGGTTGGAGGTTCTGGGAGGTAAGGATGTGGAACACAGAAGGACACTCGTGTGTGTGTGTGTGTGTGTGTGTGTGTGTGTGTGTGTGTGTATGTGTTTGAGAGGGAGAGGGAGAGGGAGAGGTATTGGCCTGAATGACATTTGAGTGGCTTTAGAACCAGGGGGATGTTGTGGAATATTTGTTTAACTATGTAAAGATGTGTTGCTGTTTTACCTAGCCTGCCTACGGCACCTGATTGGTCTAATAAAAAGCTGAATGACAGGACTGGAGAGGTGGCTCAGCAGTTAAGAGCACGGACTGCTCTTCCAGAGGACCCAGGTTCAATTCCCAGCACCCACATGGCAGCTCACACCTGTCTAACTCCTGTTCCAGGGGATCCCACACTTGCACACAGACATACATTCAGGCAAAACACCAACACACATAAAATATAAATAAATTAAAAAAAAAGCTGAATGGCCAATAGTGAGGGAGAGCGTATAGGTGGGACTTTGGGCAGGGAGGATAAGTAGGAGGAGGAATTTAGATTTGAGGGAGAAAGAAAAAGAGACACCAGGGAGACGCCAGGGGCCAGTCAGCCAGACATGGAGGAAGCAGGAAAGTAGGACATACAGAATGAAAGAAAAGTAAAAGACCTCAAGGCAAAATGCAGATGAATAGTTAAATTAAGTCATAAGAGCTAGTGGGACAAGCCTAAGCTAAGCCTGGGCATTCATGATTAATAATAACTCTCCATGTCTTTATTTGGGAGCTGGTTGGCAACCCAAAGAAAACACTGTCTACATAGGGAACCTGGATGGAGACAGAACTGTGAAGGCAGAAGGTGGCAGGGGGCACAGGTGAGCTCAGCGGGCACAGGCAGAGCAGGGAACTTCGGTGCCCGCAGAGAGGAAGTCTGAGGAAGGACCTGAAGTATGGGGAGTCTGACTCATGGCAAAGCAATACCACTTTCAGATGTGACTGAAACTCTCAGTGGGGAGCCTGAAAGGGGTGAGCACAGAGTGCAGTGGCCACTTCCTCTGAGTCCCCTGGGGGTGACATGCGGGATTCTAGGTGTCCTCTGTTTGAGGAAGGCCTGACAGTCTAGAGGCAGGCTGGGAGGAGGAAGGTTGAGGGAACCCTGTCTCCCTTAATTTTTTTTTCTGAAGTGGGGGCAGGTAGGGCTTGGCAAAGGTGAGCCCGTGGGAATGTCCAGGAGAGTGGATAGAGCAGTCTCAGGCCTGGAGCTGGGCAAAGGTTTCCGGCCGCATGGACCACTCCATCCTGTTTCAGACTTCACCTTGCCCCGTTGTTCAGGAGGGGCTCCCTCTTTCTGCTGGCCTTCTTGAACTTTTTTTCCCCTGTACTCCCTTTGCTTGGCCTCCTGAGATAGGCCTGGACCAGCACTTCTGGAGGGTGGGGTGCCCAGTGGGTGCCATTCCCGATGGCCCTTCTACCTCAGCATAGATATTACTGGGGGCTTCTCCAGGGCTGCCCCGTCCCATGGCGTAGAAGGCTATGGGTTCATCAGGCTCCTGGTAGATGGGGTGAACAGGTAGAGCCCGATGGGGTCGTGAAGTAGGACGTGTATAGACTTCAAGAGGAAGCTGGGGCTTGGCAGGAATGGGAGGCCTGGGTCTGGATCCCTGTGAAGTCTAGGAGAAAAGGCAAGGCCAGGGAAGAGAAGTAATGAGAACCTTAGAGACAGGGGCTAAGCTCAGGCCTGTCTCAGCCTGAGCATCTACCCATGAGGTCCCTACCTTCCTGGCCTCTCCCTCTGTCCTGTGTCCCCTCTCCGGAGGCTGATCCCCTCTCCAGAGGCTGATCCCCTCTCCAGAGGCTGATCCCCTCTCCAGAGGCTGATCCCCTCTCCGGAGGCCCACTCATCTCATATAGTACCTCCTTGGCTTGGGAGGCCCACACTCCCTCTTTGTGTGCTGGGGCCTGGGCCTGCCCCTGTTGGATGAGTAGCTTGTGTTGGCTGTCTGGATCTTCCTGTCTTTTGCTTCCAGAGTCTGATTCGGTCCTCAGGGAAAGCCCAGCCGGCTCGGCAGTCTGCAGGGAGAGAAGGAGGCCTGAAGGACTGAGGTGGGGTGGGGATGACGGGTAATGGAGGAAAAACAGGTCTGAGAGGCAGGGAGAGCTGAAGAGAGAAGTGTGGCGTGGGCCAAGTTCTGTGTGTGAGGAAGAGGGAGAGAAGGTGTTGAGGCGGCCTGGGGACTGTGGATGGAAGTGAACTCTGGTCACAGGTGTGCCGAGCACTCTCAACTTCATTCATCTAGAATACAGGGCCAAGACAGTCTTTATGCTTGTGGTTGCAGAAACAGGAGGCTTTAGGAGAATTTACCTTCAGAGCAATCCGCATGGGGGACACACCTCCATGACAGCTGGGCCTTATTTCTTTAGGCTCAAGAAGTTTAATATGTGAAGACAGAAACTAAATGTCTAGGGGCAGAGACCACCTCGGGAGAGATGAGCCTTCCCTGGTAACTACCCCTAGGTAGTTATTCCCTGGTAACTATTCCTACCTAGGCAGTTATTCCCTGGTAACTACCCCTGGGTAGTTAAAGCTTTTAGTTCAGCATTAAGGCTAGCCTTATAAAGGGCTCCATGTGCCCTCCGCTTCCGGAGGACTTCCTCAGGCTCCTACAATCCACTCAAGGCTTTCTAGATCCAAATGAGCACTCTTCCTCCTGGTGTCCATCCTTCCCTGCCCTTCCCCCAGGAAGCCGTGTATTCACCCTGCTGCCCAATCGGCAGGAAAATCAGCCTCAGTCCCTCACCGCCCTCCCACCTCAAACCCAACCCAAGATCAGCTCTGCCCACTGCCGGTCTTTCACTTCTGCACATCTTCTCCAGGCTCTCACACAGCCAGCACCGTCGTTAGGTACGAGACTCCCCCACCCCACACTGAATCCTCCCACTCTCTGCAGCCTCTTTGCCCGTCTCCCCATCCACACACAGGCTTCCTGCTCTAGAAGGACCCAGACTTTCAAGCTTGGTTAGTGTTGGGCCCAGTTCCCATTCTGACCTTTGTTCCAGACTGGATCCAGCTCTGTGGGCTCCAGCTGCTTTCCTCCTGTGGATCTGGGGATTGAACCCAGGGCCTGGAGCTAGACAAGGCCCTCTAGCTACACCCCGACCCGTAGCTTCCTATTTGACATCTCAAACTCCATGTGCTTCTCTCTGGATCAGACATGCTCTTCTTCTTGTCCTCATCCAAACATCTTCCTGCTTCCTCATCTAGTTCTGCAAACACGCTGTCAGCTCCACCTTCTCAACAGCCAGCAGGCCCTTTTACTCCGTCAGCTCCCCTGCACTAGCCCACCCCCTCACCTTCTGAAACACCGTAGCCGTCTCCCTCTCCAGCCGCCCTGTCTGGCCCTCATGAACTTGTCTGGTCAGGCCTTTGCTTCTAACTGTCTAGTGTAATTGGACCTGGAATAGAACCTCAGACCCTTGGAAGAGCCGCAGGCCCCCTTACCTCACTCTTCTGACCCCATTTCCGGCTCTTCCTCCATCAGCCATCCTGATCCACCCACGGCAGCTCCCTCACTGCTCATCGTTCTCCAACACCTCAACCTCCCACTTCAGGGCCTTTGCCGCGTGTGGCTGTTACTTTCGCTCCAAATGCTCTTCCTCCAGCTGTCTTCAAACCGCCCCCTTTCACTCATTCAGGTCTCTGTTTCGATGTCCCCAACTTCTCTGCTGTCCCTATGTGTGACAGTGCCAACCCTGGAACTCTCCATCGCCGCTTGGCTCTCTTCCTAGCCCTCACTGTTTCTGCGATCAGTCTGTTCTCTGTATTACTCATGGAGTCAGTCTTGTCAGTGGTCAGAGGCACCTGCACTTTTTGAAGGTGGGGGCTCCCTGACAATTCCTGCCAAGCGAAGTGGTGGGCCTTGCATCCCCTGGCATCCACCACAGTCTCCGCACTTGACCCCATCATTGGACTGTCTGTCGTTGCTACGGTAAGTAAGGTTTATGAGTGAGATGCCCACCTGTCATGGCCATAGTTCTGTTTACAGGACCTCTGCTCCTCCCCTTGCCCCGGAGACTCAGTAAACCTGGCTTAATTTAACTCGATTGCCTCGCTTGCCTCCCTTTGCCCTGCTGGTCTGGTCATGGGCCTTTCTGGAAGAGGTGTGGGTAGGCAAGTGTGCCCGGTCATGGGTTGGGATGGGAAAGGCAGATGCCAGTAGCCTGGCCCTGACTGTGATCCTGGAGGGGGCAACAATTACAAACATTGGCCTCAGTTGTGGGTTTAGGGTAAGGGCTCACCTGGCGGGCAAGGGGCTGGGTGAGCGTCTCCCCATAGGGGCTGAGGGGAAACTCTGTGTAGTGTTGAAGCAGGTCCTGAAGCTGCGCGTGGGCACTGTCTTCGCCCAGCACCACGTGACGCCCATCCCCTAGCTGGGCAAGGAGGAAGTGACGGCAGCAGGTCCGGCTCCTGGAGGGGCCACTTCGAGTCAGACACACCATTTCTCCCCCTACCATGCTGAGGGAAGAGCCCCGAACCCTCCTTGGAGAGTGCAGGTCAGCACAGGAACCCACCCCTTGGTTAGCACAAAGCCCCACATCCAGATGGTCAAGGACCGCCCCTTACCTGTAGGATAGCACGAAGGTCACAGTGCTCTCGCTAAAGCGCACCAGATAGCATCCTTGAGGCTGGGGTTGCAGCAGCCTCTCAGCTTCCCTGTGCAGTTGGAGAGAAGTGTGGGGTCAGTTCTGACTCTTACGACCTCCTTTCCCTCACCCCCACCAAGCAAGTATATCATGGCTAGGTGGAGATGAGGGGTCCTACTTAAAGGGCCCTGGGCTTCATCCTGCAGGACAGTCTGGCAGGGGGGTGGGATCGGGGGGAGCTGCAGCCTCAACAGGCATGGCAGTTACCGTGCTGGAGTTTGGAAGTTGGAACCTGGACTGAGGAGATGAAGGAAAAGTGGGGTTGAGACATGGAGGGTCTGCAAGGGTAGGAAGAAAGAGGAGAGGGCTGGACGGAGCTGATAGAGATGGAGGGAGAGGGGCTGAAAATAGGAGGCCTAGAGCCAGTAGGGTAAATGAGCCTCGGGAGAGAAACTGAGGCACAGAGCGGACTGAACCAGAGCTCCCCCTTAGCGAAAGGCCTGGGAAACTAGAGTCCTAACTGTCATGATTTCCGGACTGACTCAGATCCACAGCCCCTGTGCTTTCTGGGGGTTTTGTCCCCTGTGACTCACCTCCTGGTGATGAAGCCATGGAACCAAACAGGGGCGGTCCTGAGCAAGAGCCAGTGGGACTGGGTCTTCTGGACCCATGCTCTGGTCTCAGCTTGCAGTGACAGACCACCTTTCCCAGGTACCTCTTCCTCCTTGTCAGCATTCCCTAGGACCCAGGCGGCTCCTGGGGCTGAGGCAGAAGCCTGGACATGAGAGACGTCAGGGACAGAAACAGCCATGATTTGAGGGCTCCTGACCCCAAGCTGCCTCCTTTTTATCTTCATATCGGTCCCTCAACCTATCTCAGGGTCAGATTGTCCAGAAAGTCCTTCCCAAGGCCACTGATTTAAATTTCTTCTGGCCTTCTGATGGCCTTCCATACTGGCCTCAGAGGGCAGGGGATGGTATAGGAAGTCGCCCCAGGCAGGAGAGGGTGGCTTCTTCTCTGGAAAAGGACATTGAGCTGGTGGCTGGGAGGGGAAGGGACTGAAATAAGATCTTACGTGCTTTGGGCATTTCATGGAGGTGCTGACCCAGAATGCAGACAGCTGCATCTGGCCAGGATCAGTGCCTGACCATATCCTGGTCACCTGCTGACTGGGCCTGAGCTTTCCACAGAAACTGAGGGCAGGTGGGTCTCTGTGTACGGGAAGGAGGCACCCCCACTCCCTCCTCCTCTGCACCCGTCCCGGTCCTCAGCCAGCCACTCATTCCTGCTGCCTTTCTTCTTGACCTGTATCCATGTGCTTGCCCTCATCCTTGAGGGGGTGGGAGTGGATGAGGCAACTGTACCCCTCCATGTTTCTACTTACCACAGTGTGTGTGGCCCTGGGGCTGAGCTGAACCTCCTGTTCCGTCACAGCCTGCATGCTGGGCTTGCTCCCCAAATTCAGGTCCTGGCATCTCCCCTGGGTCAAGTTCATGGGCTGGAAGGTGCTGAAGGTGGGGGAGGGGGCTTCATGATTCCCTGTTGGAATGAAGGGGGTTGCCGGGGTTTCTCGGGAGTGGTGGTGGTGCCCCTCCCTCTCTCCTGTACCCCAGGCTTAGAGTGTCTCTCAAACATCCCTGAAGGGGCTTTTCCTGACAGGGGCAGTCATGACGATAGCGTAAGTGTAAGTGTGAACCGGGGAAGTGAGTGGGAATCTCAGGGACAGGAGTAAAGAGTCAAGAGGGTCCAGAGGGACTGGCGGCCAAAGAAGGCTCGTCAATAAAAAAGAAACCCTGGGAACTAGGCTGGCCTTCTGATGGCCGGGAAGCTGTGTGGAGAGGTGAATCCCTTCAGGCCAGGCCCTCTCCTGTCTAGGTTCTTCCGCCTGTTGTCTTCTTTTACCCTTTTGTTCCAGTCTCCTAAAAATCTCCGAAGACCCTGTCCCTTGCCTGCAGGGGTGCATAGTAGGGAGCCCCCGAGATGGAGCAGGAGTTGTGGACACTATGGCCGCTCTGGCTTGGGTCAGCTGCTGTAACTGGGATGTGGGAGCTCAGGCCCAGGAAGGCCGAAGGGGTAGGAGAGCCTTGAACTTCACACGTACCTTGGGGGCATGTCTGAGCCAAGCAGAACTCCATAGAGGCAGGTGTGTGTGCTCTCAAAAGAGGTGCGCACTCGGCAGCGGCAGCTCATCTCTCCTCTCACTCCTTCCCCCAGGGACAGGAAACATCGTCGTCGCTTTACCCACCTCCTCTGTCATGAAGAGGACCCACGTCATGGAAAGCCCAGTAAGACGACAGACAGTCCTGGCCCTGGAAGGCGGGCACCGGGGTGCTGGTGGCTTACTCTGTTAAGTGTTGAGGAGGTCTTCCTATCTGACCTTTCTCCCTTCTCTGAAAGCTTTCTACCAGTTCTCAGAGATGCATAGAGTTTTACTTTGAGGAGAGACGTGAGGACAGAGGGGCAGGGCAGCAACAGGAAGGATGTGGGTTAGACTTCTGGAAGAATTTTGCTGTGTGTATGTGTCTGTGTTTATGTGATGTGTGTGTACACCACAGGTGCACTTACCCATGTGTGTACATGGAAACTAAAGGGTGAAGCAAGGTCTTCCTCATCCACTCTCGGCCTTACATTTTGAGACAGGGTCTTTCAGTGAGCCTTGAGCTTATAATTTCAGCTGGACTGACTGGTCAGTTAATCCCCTGGGATTCACCTATCTCCCCTTAAACCAGCATTGGGGTTTCAGACATGTGCCCAGTTTTTATGTGCACACTGAAGCTCCCGACTCGGGTCCACAAATCTGTACAGCAGGAGCTTTGCCCATGGAGCCATTGCTCTGGAGGCTGGGGGGACTTATTTTAGCCATATGAGATCTGTGAGACACTGAGTTCAAGAAAAGGAGCCTGACATCCGTCCTTGAGCAGATAATGGAGCCACCTCGGGGGATTCTCTAACTACACAGGTCACTGTTAGAAGTGGCAGGATTAGCAGTTGTGGTTGAATCTGAACTGTCTCCACAGGTTCGTGCTTTGAACATATGATTCCAAGCAGGCAGTGAGTGCTGTCCTGGGAAGCTGTGGGCCTTTTAAGAGGTAGAACCGGGTACCAGAGCAGGCGGCATCCTTTTTGTGTCAACCCAGGAGACCAGATCCTGTGACTCATGACATGGTATTTAACATTACTTAGAAATGGAAAAGACTTGCCAGGCAGTGGTGGTGCAGGCCTTTAATCCCAGCACTCTGAGGCAGAGGCAGTCAAATTTTTGAGTTTGAGGCCAGCCTGGTCTACAGAGCAAGTTTTGGGACAGCCAGGGCTACACAGAGAAACCCTGTCTAGAAAAAAAAAAAAAAAAAAAAAAAAAAAAAAAAAGGAAAAGACCCTATAGAATTTACTAGAAAACTCTTAGCTCTAATAACACAGTTGCAGGATACAAAATCAAAACAGTAGCCTTTATATATACCAACAATGTACTCTCTGAGAGAAAAATCTCCTATTTGTATTAGCTCCAAAAAGTTAAGTAGGAGGCACACACCTAACCAATGAAGAGCAAGTCCTCTACAAGGAGAACCTCGAGACATCAAAAAGGAAATCGAAGAAGGCTCTAGATGGTGCTAGACTGGCGAGGTTAGTAATGTGAAAATGTTGTATTGCCAAAATTAATCTACAGAGTTAATGCAATACCTATAAAATCCCAGTGTCATATTTTACAGATCCAGGAAAAACAATCCAAGAATCCATCTGGAACCACAGATGACCACAAATAGCAAAGTATCCCAAAGACTAAGAACACAGCTGGAATATCACAACAGCTGGAACATCACAACAGCCAACTTCAGGCGGAGCTGTGATCAAAGCCGCCTGGAACTGGTATAGAAGCAGAAGACTGAACCAGTTCAGCGGGCACAGAGACGGTGGAAGCAAACGCAAAGCTGTGTCCCCTGAATTTTTGACAAAGGAGACAAAAACATCCAGTGGAAAAAGCCCATTCAAGAAACGGTGCCGGCAAAGTTGGATATTCACATGCAAAATAACGAAACTGGATTCACATCTTTCATCTTGAACAAAAATCAGTTAAAAATGGATCCAAGACCTTAATTTAAACATGGAAACTTCTAGAAGAAAACATAAGGAATACTCTGCAGGACACTGGGGTAGGTAAGAGCTTTCTGAACAGAATACCACCATGACAGGAACTGGTCCTGAGTATTAAAGATGGCACAACACATAAATAAAAGTTTCTGCACAGCAAAAGAAACTATAAGAAGCTGGGCATGGTTGTACGCAGCACTTGAGAGGCATGCAGACCTCTGTGAATTCAAGGCCAGCCTGGCTTACATATAGAGACTTTGTCTCAAAAAAACCAAAACCAGAACCGAAACAAAACCCCCAAAAGAAGGAGTTAATATCTAGAATTTATATTGAATTTCAGAAATTAAATATCAAGGAAACTGCCAATCAACAAATGGCAGATGAATTGACTAGACATTATCAAAAGAAGAAATACAAATGGCCATTTGTGTTTTACAAGGTGTTCAACATCCCTATCATCAGGGAAATGCAATTTAAAACTCTTGTGAGATACCTCCTGGCCCCAGTCAGAATGGCGGTCAACAAATTCCCTGTGTCAACAAACTGTTGGAGAGGAAGTGGAGAGAAAGGAACGCTTATTCACCATTGGTGGGAGTACAAATTAATACAGCCGTTGTGGAAATCAGTTTGGAGATTCCTCAAAAAAATGAAAACCAGAGCTACCATATGACTCAGCTATTCACTCCTGGGCACACACCTTGAGAGCTCCCTACCCTACTACACAGATATTAGCACCCCATGTTTATTGCTGCTTTATTCATGTTAGCAAGGAAGTGGAACCAACCTAGATGTCATCAGCAAATGAATGGATAATGAAAATCTTGTATGTATATAAAATGTAATATTATTCAGTGACAAAGAAAAATGAAATCACAAAATTTTTAGGAAATCAGATGGACTTAGAATGTGCAATATTAAGTGAGGAAAAGAAACCAGCATGTTCTCCCTCATATGACTATAAAGCATACACACACACACACACACACACACATACACACACACACACACACACGTAACAGCTGCAAGTGTGGGTGTGGTATAACATTTAGAAAGGTGATAACTGTTGGCCTAAGGGGCCCCATGGAAACCTCCAAACATCACAGGCTGTTGTCAAAGCTCTTGGTTATTCTTCACACCTTGATGGTAAGGCTCTATTACTGAAGACAATACTTACTTCTGCCATCAAACATGGAGAAGTTGATTGATGCTCAGGTAGACGCTTCACCCCTCTTGACTAGCACGCATAATACTAGAATGTACTCTGCATGTGACTGGAGGAGAAAGGTTGTCATCAATATCACCCAGCTACAAACCCTGTGACCTTCAACAGGGACCTGCCTGAAAGATATACTGGTATAATAGTGGCACACATGTTATGGGAATAACAACCATTTTCTGGTTGGATTTAAGGCCCACTCTATGAGATGGAACTCATACCCGACACTGTTAAAGTGGCCAAGAACCTGAAACTAGATAGATCATGGTCTAGGGGAAAACTTACTCTTCTTATTCTACTAAAGGAACATAGCAATAAAATGACCCCCCACGCTGGGCATGGTGGTGCACATCTTTAATCCCAGCACTCAGGAGATAGAAACAGGTGGAACTCTTGAGTTTGAGGCCAGCCTGGTTTACAGGGTGAGTTCCAGGATGACACAGAGAAACCCTGTCTCACAAAACAAAAATAAAACTAAACAAAATTTAGAAAAGGCTCCTAATAACACACTGCTATACCCACAGGTCAGTGCCTGGATCAACCCACATCAGAGAAGCTGCTTCTTGTAGTAGATGGAAATTAACATGGAGACCCACAACTGGACAATGTGTAAGGAGTGAGAGACTTTGTAGTACTCAGTACTAAATGGGGTGTCTTCATCAAACCCCTCTCTCAAGGCTCTGGATCTATTTAGGTGGGGCAATGGAAAGACTGTAAGAGCCAGAGGCAACGGATGTCTCCAAGGAAATAGTGTCTTCCTGACCCCACAGCACTCATGCACACGTGAATGCACAGAGACCGTGGCAGCAGCGTGCACAGGACCCGTTAGGTCCCAGAAAGAAGGGGAAGTGGACATGGGCTCCCTAACCAAGAAGCTGTCTGCAACTGATACTTCTGACAAAGGGGAAAATCAGTTTTCTCCAATGCAATGTCACTGGGTATATCAAGCACACTCCAGGGTAGGTCCCATGCCCAAGAGTGGGTAGTTGGCGAACACAAAATGAACTCAGTGGTATTTTTGAGGACATTTTGTTTCATTTTGCTTTGTTTTGGCTTTTTTCTCTCTTATTGGTCTTTTGCTTGTTTTGATTTTAGTTTTTTTTTGGGGGGGGTTATTTTTTTGGTTTGTTTTTGAAAGAGAAAGAAAAAAGAACATAAACTTGGGTAGGTAGGAAGGTGGGGGGCTCTGTCTGGGAGGAATTGGAGGAGGGGAAAACATGATCAAGATATAGCCTACAGATTTTTTTCAATTAAAAAAAAAAGAAAGAAAGGAGCCAGCCATGCCTTTAATCCCAGCACTCAGGAGAGAGAGGCAGGGTGGTCTCTATGAGTATGAGGCTAGCCTGGTCTACAGAGCGAGTTCCTGGATGGCCAGGACTGGTACCCAGAGAAACCCTGTCTTGAAAAAAAAAACAAATAAAACAAAACAAAAAAAGAAAAAGAAAAAAAGAAAGGACACTGAAAAGGGTGATGAGGGAGGACAGGACGTAGGCCACGGACGTGTGAACTGTGAAAGAGCATACAAAGCGAATTGCTTGTCTAGTTTCAACCCTGCCAAGGTCCTTTTTTTGTAGTGGTTAAATGCATAAAAATGTGATTGACAGCCAAGGTATAAAATCGTGAGCAAAGCCCCACAGTTTCAGAATGGCCATTCTAACGGCATAGAAGATCATTGGGGTGGACAGAGTTTGAGACTGGACAAGCGTTTGAGTGGCTACTTTAATTTAGCTGTGTGGTATTTTTGTTTGAGTCCATTACAAAACAATGATTTTTAATTAAAAAAAAAAACATAGAAAGCTGACCCAGGCAGTGGTGGCGCAGGCCTTTAATCCCAGCACTTGGGAGGCAGAGGCAGGAGGATCTCTGTGAGTTCGAGGCCAGCCTGGTCTACAGAGTGAGATCCAGGACAACTTAAGGCTACACA